ACGGCCCGAGCCCGGACGGACACTGGCGCCCTGCTCCGTCCCTCGGCGGCGCGGAAGGGCACGCGCCCCTCAGGAGGGGCATTCGCTCCGAATTGGCGCGGGAGGAGTGAGCCCGCACCACCACGGCGCCTGGGAGCGCCCGGGCTCGGGCGCTGCTCAGTGTCTCACCAGCAGACAATGAACAGGGCCGGTGACTCAGGGCCGCTTGCTGACACACCACACTGGGCTATTCTTCTCTCTCCTTCCAAGATTGGATGCAGCCTATCTCCGAGAGAGGCGCCTGGAATTAGCTTAACTCTTGGCAGTACATGAAAAATCTGATTTCCTTAAGAAGGAAGGGGATCCGGCTGTCTCGAGGCAGGCACAGGACCGCGCTCCCTCCCTCGGTCTGGCTGTAGGCTTTTGCTCGTCACCAACGCAGCTACACAACTCACTGCTTAGCAGCAGAGCAAACGGAGGGAGCCGGATCCCTGTTTGCTGAACTGCTGCACGTCCCGAATTCTCAGGCTGGCATAAACTAGGCTGGAAATACAGGGATGCCGTGAGGAACAGTCAGACGAGAACGGTCCTACCTTTTCTGGGTAGCAACAGCAAGGAAATCTGCTGGGGAAACACTCTCTGCATGCACCACCTCGCCCAGGCCACCAGCCAAGGGACAGCGGGTTCATGGGCTTCGTACCTGCAGGTCTTTGGTAACAGGCAACTGGTAACGTGTAAACATCACCCCAAAGCTCTGAGGTTCAAGTCAAAGCAGAAATCAAACGTTCGGCTGCTTCTCAGAGCCTCTTTGGTCTGGAAATGGGCTGGAAATGTCAGGAAACCTCTCCTTCCCACGAGATGCCCGGTACTTCCTTCTTCCAGCCGGGTAGGAAGTAGCTTCGCTCATGGGGCTCTGCTTGGGTTTGCTTCCCCTCAACAGACCAGAAACCACACAACTCCTACAGCTCAGTGACTTCTTGGACCCTCACGGGGATCTGGGATCGGTTTGAGATGCGGCAGGACATCCCTCCTGCTCCATCCCTGCCTCCCAGCAGGGCTGCAGCCAGCCACCCTGGGCTCTGCTGCAGGCTCCCTGTCAAGAGGCAGCCTAGAAACAGAGGGGACCATCACGCGTCCTCTGCAGGCAACGAGCAGGCTCACCTCTGTATCGTGACTGGGACACTTGGTGGCTGACTTGTGCTAAAACGCACCCTCCTCCTCCTCCTTCCCCTCGCCCATACCCAGAACGAACCCTCTGGTTGCTGGTGCCTGGCCCGGAGGCGCAGCGCCATCCCCCACGGGGAACCATTCCGGGTGGGTGGGTGAAGAGTTGGGGAGTTTCCTAGGAAAGCGGGATCTGATGTCTCGTTTGGGGCCGAATAGGCTGAGCTCGGGTTAAAAAAAAAAAACCAAAAAAAAACCCAAACAAAACCCAAGTGAGCCAAATGAGGCTGCACCAGCCAGCACCTTGCCCTGTCCCAGCTGGGCTCCTAGAAATCTTCTGATCTGGGGGGCATCCATGGATAGGAAGCATTCACAAACCTCTCTTCCCCAGCTGGGCTTTATTAGCGCCTCCGCTTTGTGTGGCAGACTCTCCCCACCAGCCGGATTTCTCCAGCCCTTTTGCCCTGTCCTTCTGCCATCCAGTCGACAATTTGTAGCTGGGAAGCATGGGAGGACGCCTCCCGACGCCCCGCACGCACCCCGCTGGCACCACGCGCCACCCCGCTGCCTCTCTTAGCCTGCACGCTGCTGGGCTCACGTCTCCCTAGCTCCTCTCGGAGACCGGCCGCTCCAGTCAGGGAAGAAAGCAAAAAAAGGTTAAACCAAATCGTCAGGACGCTTGGCAAAAGTGGGATGCGGGAATGCCCCTCCTGCTCCGTGCCTCCTCCCTCCCTCTCCACCTCCTGGCGCAGAGGAGCCGGAGAGGCGAGGCTGGAGGCGCGGGTCGGGGACGTCACGAGACAAACCCCGAGTAGTACCGCAGTGTGGCAGAGCAGCGTCCCCGCTCCTGTCCCCCAAATCCCAGCGGCGAGGGGAATGCCGGGCTGAGGACGCTGCACCCCACCAGGACGGCTCTGCCTTCAGTTGGGTGGTTTTTCCCCCCGGGACGGGAGCGGGGAGGGCAAGGCCGTGCCAAGAGGCGCTGCCTGGCGCTCCCTGCCTGCCCAGCCCTTCGGGATTTACGGACCGAGGAGGAAAAAGCAGCGGGCTGGCTGTCAAACCCTTGGCGCGGCGCTGGCGGG